AAGAAATTAAAAATGTAAATAAAACCAACAGCAATATGCAGAAGTGTGTGCATGTGCATGCATTAGGTGTCTGTCTGTGTGTGTGTGTGTGTGTGTCTGTCTCTGTGTGTGTGTGTGGGTGGGTGAGAGAGAGAGAGAGAGAGAACATGTGTCTGTCTGTGTGTGTGTGTGTGTGTGTGTGTGTGAGAGAGAGAGAGAGAGAGAGAGAGAGCATGTGTCTGTCTGTGTGTGTGTGAGTGTGTCTGTGTGTGTGTGAGTGTGCCTGTGTGCGTGCATTAGGTCTCACCCCTTTATATCTTTGTTCTCATTTCTGTGTGGAAATTTTCAGATTTATGCCGGATTTATTTATTTTTTTTGACAAATGAAAAAAATATATATACATTTTTTCACATTTCCCATTCATTTCAATGTGGGGTCATATTGACCCCAAGGGACAGATTTGTAGAAACATTTTTTACATAGCTTCAGAACAACCGAATCAAGCCCAGTTTTTTATGTGAATATAGATATAAAATGTTGAAAAGTCACAAAATCTTATTCCACTGAGATGAAGGGAACCATTTTTTTAAACTAAGTAAACATTGATTGGGGTCATATTGACCCCAGAGGCCGATTGAGGGTTAATGCATAAAATCAAAACAACTGATATCATGTTGCACATATCATGTTGACATTCATATAATTTTCTCTAATCCCTGAATTTTAATTGTGAACATAATTTGAATAGTTATACTCTGCATCTACATTTTCTTTTACTTCATTTATTTCTTCACTCCACAGTTTCAGCTTCATGCCTCGCCTTCTCTTATGCTCTCACTTTCCTTTCTTCCATATTCTGAACGTCAATTCTACATAAGAAAAAAAAACTTGGTACGTGTACTGCGTTTGGCTAACTGACACTTATCACAGCACTTACATATTAGGTATTGCCCTTTTGTTGGTTTTGATTGCTTAAATTGTCCTCATTTGTAAGTCGCTTTGGATAAAAGTGTCTGCTAAATGACTAAATGTTCATGAAAATAATCAGTGAATGTCAGTTTATTAATGAATGTGAAGGTTCAAAGTGGGCCACTTTATCTAGCACCTTCAACCAAAGTATGCCAGCAATATTCACCTTACAATAAAAACTAACCATTTTTAACAAATCCTTTTTGCTTTAATTCATGTTAACAAATAACAAGTTCTGTCACAATAATATTTGTTTTAGCGAGGAACTTTACAAGTTTTAAATAAAGATCTGAATGTCAAAGAGCTTACATTTCATGAGTTCTCCTTTGAGATGTGTTCACACCCACCAGTGTCATATAGCATCAGCCAAAACAGTTTTCTTATTCTAAGAAACAGTGTCCCTTTGATAAAAGACCATTGTTATACTCTGAAAGTGTAAATCATTTGAGCACAGTACAATCAATCTTAAAGGGGTCATATGATGCTATTTTAAAGATCATTATGTTGTGTATTTGGTGTAACAGAATATGTTGACATGCTTTAATGTTCAAAAAACACATTATTTTTCAAATACTGTACATTATTGTAGTTCCTGATGGAAAGATGGAAATCACAAATTTATTTTAACCATAACCATATTTTAACCAGTGATTTCCAGATGACACTGCAAAAAAGTACATTGACTTCTAAATGGAAGTGAAGAGAATGGGAGTCACATGATGCGGGAACATCTTAAGAAAACCTGCAGTAGAAACACCTGGGGGACACCTACTATCAACAAACAATACAGCAAATGTGTGTATGTTTTAACTGGTATTATACTACGGGGCCGTTGAATGCTTGAATCTGTTTGGCTGATGAACGTTCTAAGGTGTGCTATTATTTTCAGGGAAACGCACGGCGAACGTAGTTCCAGGCAGGTCTTGACCAAATTACAGTTCCATATCACTTTGCCAAATGATTTCAGTTTTTTCAAAGGTCCTTTCAGCCTAAAACAGCAAAATAACCAAAACCTACAATGACACTGACTAAGCATATAAATATAGTAAACAATAGGATAAAAACGACAGATTATTTCCATGTTTTTGCCACAAAATTAAGTTTTATTATGTACGGAAAGCACATACTCTATTTCTCTTGCTCTCTTTCCCTCACAGACGCACACACGGGAACATACGCGCTAATGTTGTTAGCGCTACTCTGACGATTTAATTAGTAAAATAGTTTAGCAACTTAAAAGCTACATGACATTTCTCACAAGCGAGGTAACAGCGGGGCTGTTCTTGAAGAAAATTAACTTAATGTTTTACTGTTAGTAATGTTAGAGACGCTGCTGCCAATCACTGCTGAGAGATGCACAGACTCAGGTAATTCACACACGCTTAATCTCTCTCTCTCTCTCTCTCTCTCTCTCTCTGTCTAATACCTTCATTAATAACTGCATTAGCCTGCTATCAATGGCTCAAACCTCTGTTACTAGGTCTAAAATGAAGTTTTGGAATTTGCAAAGGAGGTGTTGGATGAGATGCGGAAGAAATTAATCCTACTCACAAGAGCGTTTTAAGTACAAACACCGGACAAATGCCTTGAAATATCTCATCTGATCGGTGTCTTGAGGTGTGGCAACCGTAGTATAAATCCAGTTAAACTCTGCCAAAATGACGTTAAAAAATTACAGATTTTCAAAAAAATACTTAGTTTTAAAACTCCAAAAGCACCTATGTTTTTTTTGTGTTTATAGTAATATTTGAAAAGTATATAATGTTATTTATAAAGAATTACACTCATATTTTGTAGTTCAAAGGGTTTTCTTTACAATGAAACCATTTTTTTTTCATTTCCTCCATTGTATGTGTGCAGGGTAAACATTTGAATTTGAGTATGTTAAATTTAGGCGAAAATACCAAAAAACGCCCCGAGCTTAAGTGGATAAGCAGAATAACTGACTTCGGTCCATTGAATTATCAGAAAAATAATGCACACCCGAGGTGTTACTCCGCTTCGCGTCGTGGCCGCATCACCACCTCGAGTCAAATGTACACCAAAATGTAAAAATCGTAAGGTTTAGTTTTTTCGCTATTTTTAATAGTTCGAAAAACCTACTTTTTCGAACTCGTCCTAGACGGATTGTCTGATTTTCACCCAAATTGGCTCAGATCATCTTCAGACCATGCTGGCAAAAAATTATCAAAAGCTTTTTAATAGACCCATCCGTTCTCGAAAACCGTACAAATTAATTCGACAAAAACTTGCCAAATCAGACTTGAGGCTAATCCAACGCTTTGTCATATTTTGACCAAAACTTGATGTATGTATGATGGATGTAACCATGACCTGAGGCTACCTGTACATTTTCGGCGCAGTGCCGCCTAGTGGTCAGGAGATATGAAAAATGAATGTTTTCGCTTATAACTTCTGAATGGTTTGGACAAAAATCATAAAACTGTATTTAGAATCAGTGCAGCATGCCGAGTTGAGTGATACCCATGTCAGCCATTTTGGGTGTCGACTATTTTGACGCATTGGTGTATTTTTACGAAACTTGGTATATGTCTTCGGCACCATGCCCTGAAGGTACTCAAAAAGTTTCCGGGCAGCACCACCTTGTGGTCAAAAGTTATAATGAAATTTGCAAAAATGCTCAATTTTTTTGTATAATGGCCTATATCATGCCGAGAACGCAGATACCCTTTTTTCCTTATTCAGCTGAACTTCTTGTGCGCCATTTTTATTTATGTTCAAAACCTACTTTTTATAACTCCTCCCAGACCGTTAGTCCGAATTTCACCAAATTTGACTCAGATCATCTTCAGACCCTAGTGATAAAAAGTTATCAAAAGCTTTTTGGTAGTCCAAACAGTTTTCGAATAACGCAGCAACAAATTTGCTGAAATGGTGCCAAACTGCATCTGAGTCTGTATCTCTGCAAAGCTTTGACATATTGACACCAAATGTTGTATGTGCCATTGTCACCTCTCACTGACCATGTCACATCAGTTTGGTAACAGCACCACCTATTGGTCAAAAGTGATGATTCACATCAGTTGAACATCAGTATATTCAGTCAATGTTAGACCTGTGCATTTTGTAAACTAGTAAAATAAAATGAAAAATGTTAAACTGAAAATTCTGTATAGAAATCGATCACTGTTGTAATATTATGTCATTTAAAACTGTTGGTTTAAGAAATTGTTGCATTTAGAAGCAATGATCAAATGTATCTAGTGATTAAAATGCATCTCCTGTTATTTTTTCTAAAGCTACATGTAGGATAAAGGTATGTGAGAATGTTGTTGTGACAGTTCCAGCACTCTAACATACAATGTAATGCACCAGGGTCCACATTTCTCGCTTCATTTCATTTACTCTTTGCTTATATATAGTCTAGTGCACTCAACTGCCATGTACTATATAGGGATTAGAGAATGAGTGAAAAAGAGAGAACGATTTCAGACAGCAACAGAGTCAACAACGAGGGTTCATTCCTGTGCTAGATTCAAACCAGACTCAGTTTCAGAAGTGTGCAACAAATGCACGCAGTGTATGCTCAACCATTAGCTTGTGAAAAATTTGACCAATTAAACTAGCAATGCACAAGAAGAGGTATAAAATACTAAAGAAAACCAAGTTTACTATGGAAAAGCATTTAATTATTGGTGATGAACATTTAGAGATTTTTCTATTTAGACAGAGCAGAAAAACAGGATGTAAATAAACGAACAGCAGAATAACAGCTCATACTTAAAATGTCTGATATAAAACAAAAGTGAACTTTACAAAACAAAGGAAACTTACTCTTTGGTTAGTATGACCCAATTTTTAAAGTATAGATGAAAGTCCATACCCCAGTGACTGCATTCATAGCATGTTACATAATAAAGTGTAAAATCATATTGTAACCTTATTTTTAGATGAATTATCTCAGAACACAGAAACAATCCCTCCACAAAATAGTAACAGAAATTGCAGTGGGGAAAATTTTGGAAGTTTCTTTTAATCATTCATAATGGCATATGAGCTGTTGGAGCTGTCTGAAGATGTTAAGGAAATGTTGTCTTCAGATACATCTGCAAATGTAAGATGCATGTTATTCGCTGAACTGTCTATTGTCTCAATTAATTTAGCAGACCTTTATCAAATGAGAAATATAACTCCTGAATAATCACTACATTCATCTTATTAAATATACAGTGGGTACGGAAAGTATTCAGACCCCCTTCCCACTGTATATATATATATATATATATATATATATATATATACACACACAATAATACATGTTAGTTTCTAATTATGTGTCATCAACTTACTCCTCCGTCGCATCCTTAGCAAGAAAGTTTGTCCAGATGTGGATGATGATCCTGCTGTAGTGCTCTGAAGGGAGATATCACCATTCATTCATTCAGATACCATCATTTTGGCCCTTGACATTTGAGACAAGACCATGACTGTACGGTAAAAGAGCAACAGCGCTGAAATTAACATCCAGAAGAAAAGAGCCAGGTAAAAAAAGTGCATGAAGAAAACCGCTGAACTGCAGCGCCCCACAGAGGTTGGTTGTTCCTGTTCAGCGACTGCCGCTCCAATAATAAAACAGATGTTTGCGATCAGCAGGGACACGGCAATGTTGACTATGGAGACATGTCGCATGTAGGATGTGTCATTTCTTCTTACTGACTTCCATACGATAGTCTCAATAATCAGGCATATAATCAAGCTGGCCATTGAAATAGACACACCAATGTAATTTATATAAGATGAGGCTATGTACAAAATGTAAAACGGTGACATTAGGATTGAAAAAGAAGTTGTGTGGTTGCATTCACACATAATTTTATTCCTTGAGTGCTTTACTTCACATCCAGTGGAATCCCATGTGTTGAGACTAAAGTTCCAAAAGACACACTCAGGATATCCCAAAGACTGAATGTCAAACGTAAAAGAAATGTTGTTAAGCATTTCATTAACCTTAACAACAACCACATCTCCAATGATGCGCGCATCTGATCTCCTTCTGTCATTAGTACCTTGAGAAAGTAGGACATTGTTAAGAGTTGAGAAGATTATGATGGTTATGGTAGTCTCTTGAGGAACATGTGGTATCACAATCTCTGTAGCTGAGTTTGGCAGTCTTGATATTGTACTGAATGAGTTTTTAATTGTAGTTCTTATCAACTGAATATATTTTTCATAAATCTCAAACTCATCTGTGAGACGGTCACTTATATCCTCAATAGCGCTCAGAAGTTTAATGCTGGTGTTTTTTGTGTTGTTGCCTTTGTTCAGTTTGTTCCATGTATCACTGACACTAAATGATACAATAATGTCCACAGTTGCTAGAAAATTCTGGAAATTGAATATAAAATTGATTCATATGATGAGATTTGTCCCATAGAATGTAGAATATAATATCATGAAAAAAAGTACACTGAATCAACGCTAATGGTAGCTTCAGATTTGAGATACACACTTGGAAGCAGATTATAATGTGCTTGTCTCTCTCTTGTTTATCACTTGCACTTACATATATCTGAATGTACCATCCAGCTGGTCCTGAACAGACTTTTTGGACTTTTTGTAAGATTACAAACAGACTTATTGCTTAGGGCCACCCATAATGTAAACACACCCCTATAGGCTATTAAGGCTAATATGGTCATTTCCATTTAGAACATACATCATTGAGCACAATCATAATGTCACTCAACCAGTTAAGATAGGGTGAACCTCTGATTACTGCAGTGTAACTCTAGCTAAGTGTACATGGAACATTCAATTCAACACAAGTGCAACATGTCTACACATCACAGTGTATATAAAAGCTTGAATGTGAATATACATACCTCCATCACTTGCTTATTGATGAAAATTGATTGTGACAAATCAGCAATGTTAAAGAGTATATCAACAGTTGCTTGAACAGTAGCAGCAGACTGGCTTACAATAATTTCATGCTGTACTGTGGCAGAACTGAGGTCAGCCATAAACACTGGAATCTCCTCCACAAGCAAGGACTAAATTGCAAAGTGCAAAAATGCAAATACTATAAACATTTAACATGGCTAGATCATTGTAGATATATACATGATAAATAGATTACCTTAAGTTCGTTTTTAAGACTGTCGATAACTCCAAGTACACAGTTGTCCTCTACTGGTTTCCAAAAACCTGATTCACATTTGTAAGTTATGGTGCCTTTCATGTCTTTTCCACAGACTCCTGTCTTCAGTTCATCTGTTTTTCCAACTCCAAGTTTTTCATTTTGACAGTCATAATCTAGAGTGGAAGAGTACTTGATTCAAAGTCAGAAGGAAACAGACTCAATTCAACAATTTCTCTCAGAATATAATGTCATACTTTGTAAATGTTGGAACTTGCAAAGTACCCCTGAAAGGACTGTGCACTCAATGCAGAAGCCTCAGAAATAACTAGGGTCAAATAACTAAATAAAAGGACCAAAACAGTCAAAACCAACAGAATTGAATGTCAGAAGTTCAGGTGTGATGCAATCCAAAGAAAAGTTTGCCATTTTATGCTAAGCGACAAAATTTGTATATATATATGTGGCCGGCTTGACGTCCTTCTAATATACTAAGGAAAAAGACAATGCCAAGACATCTAATAAAAAAGGATTCTTTTATTCCTGACTGAGCCTCAAAGGAAACTCAGCATTAATGTTTTGTTTGGGGAAAAGGGTTCTTTCAGGATTCCGATCCAGTTGAACAAGAGAAGTCGTATAAAACAGAATAACAAAAAGCAAACACCCAATTCACTTCAATGGGTGCAGAAAACGAAATAAGGTAGCAGAAGAAATGTAAAGAATAAAAATAAGTTCTTTACAATAATAACCTCTAATCAAAACAGCAGATCACAAGCACAATTTGACTTGAAATAATGCAACCAATGTTAAACAACCAATAAAGGTGTACAAAACAATGGCAGTGGCCTATATGTGCCTGATAAAACAGACAAAAAACAACAGCATTAGCATACATGAACAATCTGCACATTTTGCCACCTAAATGCACCACCCACATTATACACAGTTCACATTTTAACCTCTTTTAAACATATTAATCAGTAAATAGACTAAAGGTAACAGTATACACGTTATACAGGGTACAATACTTTTCAGGCCATATAGGTAAACACACTTTGGGAGAAATGAATGAAAAACTCACTCTTATATGAGACTGGATTATCAATCACGTGGAAACTGGCACATGTGTGATCTCACATCATCGTTCTCCCCTCTTAACAGTATAATACACAACAATTACGTCATGTTCCTTCCATACATGTATTACACTGTATTATTTTACATTATAACAGTCTTCAAAACATATTTTAAATGTTACACTCTCCCCTGCCTACAGTCAACGTCCTCGATGACTGCAAACACCTTTCAATCATCCATTACTCCTTGTAGTTTACCGGATGTGTACAAGACCATACCCGCTAACACTTGGGAAAGGACATCGGGACTGAAGGACACAGCATTACAAGCAGATTTAGGCAGTCTGTTTGGATTACCATGAACACCAGCTGTTGGCCGCTGGGTCCTGCGTGGCGTAGGATGGGGTACAGCACTTTTTTCTCTCGGCTTTCGGGGAACAGGAACTGGCCTAGACAAAACCACATCCAAAGGTGAATCAGTTCTTTCAGTATCAGGCAGATAGAGCTCTTCAACAGCACTTGCCTCATTATTCCCTTGTGCATCATTATATATTCCTCGTGCTTCTTCCACTCCAGGCCCAGCACAATTGTCTGGTTCCACATCTGGCTGCGGTGACTCCTCAAGCACCAGGTCCACTGGATCCTCCTCCGACCATCTGGTTTCTTCCACAAGGACACATTCTGCATCTAACGAAGGCATCTCTTCTACCAACACGAAGGTAGGTACTTCTTCTATAGGTCTCACTTTTCTCCGTGGCATTGGGAGTGGTCTCGGACAGGGCCTAATGTCGGATCTATGTACTCTTTTTGCAGGACCGCCTCTCACTGGCTCCACAGTGTAGGTCGTACCATGCACCTCCACCACCTTATAGGCTGTGGGTGCCCAGGCGTCCTGTATCTTGTTCCTTCCTGGGGGACGATATCGTAAGAACACCTGCTGACCAACTGCAACCTCTGGACAGTATACCCCACTCTCACGCTTGGCAACTCGGTCTGCTGCCTTCCTTTCAGCATACTCACGTGCCCGGGTATGAGCATCCCGAAGCCGCTCCTTATGGACAGACAACCAGGCAGGCTCCTTCTCTTGCACTGGCTCCTGGCCCAACAAGGCATCTACTGGTAAGTGTGGCTGCATACCAAACAGCATGTAGTAAGGGGAGTAACCAGTGGAGGAATGAGGTGTCACATTATAGGCGTACACCAGCTCAGGTAAGTACTCTGGCCATTTTTGTTTCTTGTCAGGTGGCAAGGAACGCAAGAGGTCATGCAGAGTTCTGTTAAATCTCTCACACTGTGCATTTCCCTGGGGGTGATGTGGCGTAGTGCAGGACTTTCTCACCCCATACAGTTTACAGAGCTCTGCAATAACGGCACTCTCGAAGTTCCTCCCCTGGTCTGAATGAAGACGCTGAGGCACACCGTACTTTAGGAACCATTCCTTCAGAAGGATCTTTGCGGTAGTGTCCGCCTTCTGATTGAGGGTGGGGAATGCCTGGCTGAACTTAGTGAATACATCCGTCACAACCAGGACATTCTCCTGTCCATCCGACGCAGGTTCCAATGTGGTGAAATCCATTGCGACCACTTCCAGTGGATGAGAAGCCAAGAATGGGGTCCAAGGTGCCTGAATCTTGGGCTGCGGCATTTTGGCTAGCACGCACCGCTGGCACTCCTTCACCCACTTATCCACAGCGTTATACATTCCAACCGAATAACAACGCTGCTTGAGCAGGGCCAGCGTCCTCTTCACGCTTTGATGCCGGCACACCGTACTTGAGGAACCATTCCTTCAGAAGGATCTTAGCGGTAGTGTCCGCCTTCTGATTGCGGGTGGGGAATGCCTGGCTGAACTTAGTGAATACATCTGTCACAACCAGGACATTCTCCTGTCCATCCGATGCAGGTTCCAATGTGGTGAAATCCATTGCGACCACTTCCAGTGGATGAGAAGCCAAGAATGGGGTCCAAGGTGCCTGAATCTTGGGCTGCGGCATTTTGGCTAGCACGCACCGCTGGCACTCCTTCACCCACTTATCCACAGCGTTATACATTCCAACCGAATAACAACGCTGCTTGAGCAGGGCCAGCGTCCTCTTCACGCTTTGATGCCCCATCTGGTCATGAACACTTCGCAACACCATTTCGACCAGACATGTAGGGAGCAGCAACTGTTGGCATTCCCCATTGAACACATCATCAATCGTTCTGTACATCAGCCCTTCTTTCTCTTGGATCTTGTCCCACTGCTTAAGCAACATCCTCAACGGTCTGGACAAGTGCTTTCTCTCACGATTTGTGGGTTTCCTCTTCTTGTCCCAGAAACTCTTGAGCACACTGATGGTCGGATCTGCATCCTGAAACTGACGAAGCTCATCCTTTGTGTATCCAGGTAATGTTGGGGTATTCTCCATGGGTCCCCCTCCAGTCTCTCCATCCTCTATGGCTGCATGTAACAGTCCTATTTTTCCCTCTCTAGGACTCGCCTCTAGCCCTGCCAGGTCAACTTCCAGTGCAGTCCCTGTACGAAGCCCACTGCAAATAGTCACACAGCCATCGTACTCTGAATCCTCAGTTACCACCTCCATCGCCTCCAGTCCTGGTCTTCTAGAGAGAGCGTCAGCTGCAGTGTTACACCGGCCAGGGCGGTACTGGACTTTGAAATCCAATATCGCAAGCTGTGCAGCCGACCTCTGTTCAATGCCACCCAGCTTAGCCGTGTTGAGGTGGCAGAGGGGATTGTTATCTGTTAGAACAGTCAATTTGGATCCTAGCAGGTAACTCCTGAACTTCTCCACCACAGCCTATTTGAGTGCCAGGAGCTCCAGCTTCATACTACTGTAGTTCCTGTCATTTCGCTCTGAGCCCCTCAACCTCCGGCTTGCATAGGCTATCACAGTCTTACTTCCCTCTTGCTGCTGGTATAGCACAGCACCCAATCCCAGGTTACTGGCGTCGGCCTCCAGCACAAATGGTAGGGTGAAGTCTGCATAGCCTAGTGTCGGAGCACAGGTAAGCTTCTCCTTGAGGTGCTCAAAGGCTTGCTGGCACTCCACTGTCCAAGAGTCCTTAAACAACTTGTTGGCCTGAGCAACACTCCCTTGGTGGACACAAGTGTTTACAACATCATGGAGCGGACCGGCCACCTTAGAGAAGCCCTCAATGAATCTCCGATAGTAACTGCAGAATCCTAAAAAGGATCGCAGCTCCTTTAGAGTGTTAGGGATTGGCCACTGCTTCACTGCACTCACTTTGTCTGGGTCTGTAGACACCCCTTGAGCAGATATCACATGCCCTAAGAACTTTACCTCGGACTGCAGGAAGTGGCATTTTTCCACCTTAACCTTGAGTCCGGCCTCCCTCAACCTTTGTAACACAGTCTCAGGCCTCACTAAGTGTCCCTCGAATGTACTTGAGTACACAAGCAAATCGTCCAAATAGACGAGTACCATTTGAAAGGCCAGGTCACTCATTATGGCCTGCATGAGACGTTGGAATGTCGCTGGCGCATTACATAGGCCAAACGGCATCCGCTGGTACTCATACAGGCCAAATGGTGTAATGAAAGCTGTTTTGTGGCGGTCCTTCTCATGAACTGCTACCTGGTGATAGCCACTCGCTAGGTCAATAGACGAGAACATCTTGGCCTTACTCAAAGCATCCAGACTCTCATCTATTCGTGGCAACGGGAATGCATCACGCCTAGTTTTACAGTTCAGCTTCCGGTAGTCCACGCATAGCCTAAGACTCCCGTCAGTCTTCTGGACTAACACCACCGGAGATGCATACGAACTGGAGCTGTCTTGGATGACATGCTTTTTGAGAAGTCCAGAGATATGGTCCTTCACCTCCTGGAATTCCCACAACTGAAACCACCACAGGTCCACGAGTTGATAACCAGCCTGGATTATATCAGTTTAACAATTTTTAACAACTATTTTCTCCTCACTTGTAACTGCTGCTTCTATGGCGCTATCTCTGTTGCCCTCTGACGCACACTCTCTCTATTGTGCGCATGCTCAAACTCTTAAAGGAGACAGCACGCATAACTGCATCATAGCGAAAACTTAAAGGGGTATCACCAGGGGAATGAAATATTGGACTATTCCTGCCCCGGTTACATATATGACACAGTGATGCTGTCTCATATGATTCTTCTGAGCTCAAGTTCAAGTTTAAAGTCTTTACACCATGTCTACACCGGATGCGAGCAGCACGGCTCGACAAAATACAATAGAACCCATTATAATCAGTGATGCTGTCTACATTGGATGCGGTGCAGCACGACACAACAAATCCCCGACAGTATTATAGAGTAGTGCAATTGTACAGTGCAGTATGTAAATATGTCAATTCTGTGCAAGTCGCATGTATGCATAAATAACTCAAATTTGGAATGGGGTATGCTGAAGAGTCCGTATTGAAATACTGTGCTACCATACCAAACTGTGATACAGCTGGTTAAAGGGTTACGGTGCTGCTGAAGCAGGAGCCGGTGTTCTGACGTATTACCTGGATGCTCTGTGCCTTGTTTGCAAGCAGAGGAATGCACACGCACTCTCGTGAACACGCAGAAAAACAAGGCGCAGTGTATCCAGGTTCTACGTCAGAACGCTGACTCCTGCGTTTTACATTTGAGGTACTTGTATATTATGTGATGTGGTGCAGGTCTTGCCACGTCTGCCTAGCATCAGCAGTAGAGTAAAAACTGTCAATTTTCTCTCTGTACTGTCTTTTAGCCTCCTTGATGGTGTCAAAGCTGATGGTACCAGCAACATTGTAATGTCAAAAGATGGCTAACTTTCATTTGGATTGCATCATACTTTCTTTGCCGTTCACCAATTTGGTATATTTAATCAAATCAATTTAATTTTTGCAAATGTAAGGAAACATTCTTGCATTCATTATTACACTCCTAAACCCCTAATCAATACCACCAGCAGAGGCAATGGTAACCAAAGCATATCTCATCATTAAAACAAATGTAAATACATTGACATGTACATAAATAATTAAATAAATAACATAAATGCAAAAAAAATGCATATCTATAAACCCATTCAATAGTATTTCCATAACAATAACAATTCATATCACTTTTCAAATTACACTGTTCAAAACCAAATTTTTTTACTGTTAAGTAAAATTACCATAACACATTAATTAGATTGCTAAAATCATCATATCTAATTGAAACAGCTGATGCTGAAAAACATGAGAAACTGAAGGCTCACTTTCTGGGCTTGTCCTAACTGTGACGCTGCTATAGCTGTATCTGTAATTCTGTAGTTGTGGCAGATCCTTGAGACGACATGTAAAGATTTCCTCTATACAATTTCCCTTTGGATAGATTAATGTGATACTGTCAGATCCTGATTGGGGAAAAATGACCATCAAGAAGCCATCAAAAGCCATAATTTTGCCTTCATAATTTGAAAATAAAAAATAAATAATGATGCAATATATATATAAATAATAAAAATGTACCAACAATTTATATGTACAACCTGAAATTAGTACTGTTCCACCTATGACCCACTCAATAAGGTAGCTAACATCAATGGAACATTTCAGTTGGAAACTGCTGCCATCAAATGGAAAAACACGATATTTATCACCCACAATAATACTGGGGCATTGTTTAATAACAATGTTTTGCCACTGAATGTATGGTATTGTATTCCTTTGTATGATGCATGAATATTGACCTGCATGTGGGAGGATAGACATCAATAAAAAGAATGCATATTTATTATTTTATAAAGAAAACCCAATGCTTTCATTTTAAGAAAGTAAAAAAAAAAAAAGTATTACGATAAGTATTCTTATCATCATTTATTATGTAATGTAAAACAATACTTCTGTAAATCTTCATGACGTTAACGTACATTAAGTGTAGGTTTCTTGGTTAAAGGTGCAGTGTATAAGGCCCTGTCCACATGAACGCGGTTATTTTCAAAACCGCAGCTTTTTCTACGCAGTTTGGCCGTTCCTCCACACGCAAATGCAGCACCAGGTCACTGAAACCAAACATTTTTGAAAACTCCTGCCAAGGTGAGTTTTTGGCTTGTGAAGTCAGAGCATGCGCTGTTGTCTCCGCCTACTGGAAACTTTTTCAGGCTTCTGATTGGCCAACATGGCTTTATGGTTGAGATTATATCGCCACCTGTTGGCTTGGCATGCTCTTGACAGTGCTTCATGGCACGCGTTTGCGTTTTCATGTAGACGGAGATTTTTTTAAAAACGGAAGAAGCAAAAACTCCATTTATAGAAATACCCGTGTACGTGTGGATATGGCCTAAATTTTAGCAGCATCTAGCGGCTAGGTTGCGAATTGCACGTAGAGATACGGTGGCCGACACAGGACAAAGATGTCGTCGTCTGAGACAGCAGAGATAGCCAGTGGTAAATTAAGAAATTATATTTACTTAGTTTTTCAGTAAACCGATATGTAGATAGAAATGGCTCATTCTAAGGTAATAAAAAAAATTATCCTAAATATTACACATTGCACCTTTAATGTTGATATGGCTGTATCATCTACTCTATACCGTATATGATATAATCTAGTACAATCATATGCTATATGTCAGTATGCTAATATGCTCAATCATTTAAATGATATTATGGAACAGTTTTACTGCAGTCTGCTTTGAAAAACAGGACAGGAGCTATCAGGCACTAGTAAAATATCATAGACAATACAAAAATAAATCTCGTCACTCACCACTGTCACTTTCATTAGCGTTTTTTACAGTGAGAGTTCTGTTGTCATTTGAAAGTAAATATCTTGTGTTGTCTAGTGCAGGATCTTTGTTATCCACTGTCCATTTTATTTGTCCCTTTGCAAAGTCTGGCTGTATACAGTTTAGGTCCACCTTTTGCAGAGGATATAACTGATCTGTTGTGAAGACGGTTTGATCTGTAAACAAAAACCATACAGCTCATATCACCCAACAATGAATAAAAACAAAACATAAATATGATGGAGCTAAGAAATGTGAAGGGTTTTAGATTAGGCACTGACTGCTCTTACCACTTTGAGCAAAGGCATCTTCAGCTAAAATTATTCCTTGTGTTCTCAGAGAGTCAGAAACCTGTGTGTTTGCTGCTCCAAAATCAAGGCTGTTGGATGTTGCACTTATAGTGTAGTCTGCTATAACACTCCCAGGTCTATGTAGCAGAACACAAAACACACCAATGTAAAGACATGTATTAACATTGTATTTGTTTGAAAAGGTAAAACTAAATGGAAAAGTTTTGCGGAAAAAAAAAATGTTTCAATTGTAAATCATACCTGAAGCCAGTAACTTTTGCAGAACCAACCTTGTAGCCAGTTAGCTTATTAGAATAACTTGTGTCAATCTGTAAAAAATAAAAGTAAGCCATGTGTGCTTGAAAAAAACAATGTTACAATAATAAAAGTTATATAAAGTCATTGTATTATTAGTACTGTATTATGATGTTCACTACATAATGTGCTTGTATGAATCAAGTGCTGCAAACATTTGTGAGTTCCATATTAGTGTTTCAGTTAAATATTTTTGTTAATATTTATTAAATAATAAAAAATAATAATTATTTTAATCATATGGCAAATTATCTCTTTAATGGGCTGCATTACTGCAGTTAAACTGAATTCACATAGTGAATTAGTAAAGTCATCACCTACAAAGCTTTGGAAAGTGGTTTTTATTTTATTAATACTAACATGCATGTTATGACTTCTTCAAAGGTATAGATGTTTCAACCATAGATATACATATCTATGGTATTGAGCACTCAAATTCAGGACTATGCTTTTAACGGCAACATAAACTAACATTACTGCGCATGCGTGCTTTTGTGGCCCAAACTTAACTTCCGGTAGACTTCCACAAAGAATCAATAACAACAGCAAAGTCCCTCTAGAGTAGATTATTTCTGATAACAAGCAAAATATGTTTGTTGCGTAAATCAGACAGGCTTATTGAAAATGCAAATTCATTCTCTGCCAGCAGGAGGTGCTTTTAGAGCGGGAGAAACAGTGGTTTCCCCGGTAATGGCTGTACACAAAGCAGCATTGATCTCACAAACGTGCAGTGCTCATGTTATTCAACGAAGTCAAAGCCTTTTGGAAAATCTATTCGAGGCGGTCAGTTTTGATAGTGTCGCGGGTCGCCAAAAATAAATAAATGTATGCATGGGAAACACATCCCACAGCACAACAGCCTGAGCCCAACTTCAGTCTACTCATCAACTGAACTTTAAATGTGTTTGTAGTCTGTGTCACTAGCCAGACTGATAAACAAACACAGACCGGATGTTATCTTCGGGACAGGCACGTGCGCCCGATGAAACCGTCTATATTTAAGCTGTATTCAAAATTGTATTTATAGTATTCAAACAAAATCAAAAATCAACCAAACACACAAATAATATATTTCTTTAAAATATGAAATGTGGAATACTCACTGCTGACTCAATTTGTCCAGATAAATATTTGTAAGTCTTGCTATTACGGTCAGTAAGACTGATGTCAAAAATCTGATTTATTGCCATTGACATTCCAATAACTGTAAAAGAAGTGTACATTTATGTGTATTAAAACAACAGGTATAAGCAATAATCCTCAATACTAAAACTACCTAGTTTGTATGCTTACAGTACCTGTCTGTGCTGAGGTTACTGTTGAGGCTGTTGAATATTTTAAGTTCTGAAATGACAGGATTCTCTCATTTTTCATATTCTGTGAATTGAATTCATGCAGTAAAATGCCGTAAATAAACTTCCCCTACCCGTAAATCGAGTGTTTCCACAACACATTCATGGGTCAGCAGGGCAGCCATGAAGATTCCTATGAAGTACAGGAATAGTTGTCCTGTATCTAAGGAATTGAAATATCTCATGAACAGAAACCATAATATAAAAGCAAAACATTTATTATTCAGTTTGGTGTTTACTAGCTATGTGAGACAGCACTCTGTGTGTGCGCTGTGCACACAGAAAACAGCGCGTGGGTGCTGAATTAAGCTCTTTCGATTCTTTTTGCTTGAATGTTTGAATTAGGGAGATGTATTTGTTCGTTCAAGTGCAAGAAGACTCGAAAAATAAATTCTGTGTTTGCGCCCTTTTTGAAACGCATCTCTCTGTGTGCGCACAGAACGCAGTGTGCGAGGACTCAGTTGAGTTATTTCTTGTTGCATCTTCTTGTGCTTGAATGCTTTAAAATCTCTTGAATGTTTAAACTAGCAAGGCTTGAAAACACATGTAAAACAGCAGTGGCCTTTCAACTGTCCTGAGCGCCTTTCATGCTGGACTTGGGCAGTTGGTTAAAATCACTGGGCCCGCCCCCCCAGGGGCGTCGGACAGGGGGTAATAGTGGAACTATGTAACAGGGGGCCTCATGGAGGGGGGGGGGCACAAATATATATTGATAATCCCTAATATTAACATGACAAAATGGCATAGTTATAATTATATGCTTGTCAGTAAGAACAACACTTCGCAAGACTCAATTTTACATCAGTAAAAACAAGAAATGTTCTTTATTTGCCTGGCAGCAGGTGCCCATGTTAGCAATCCCCCTATCAAAAGGAAAAGTGGTTTGGTCTTGTAGCGGAGAGAGGGAAAGAAAACTGCAGGAGGGCAGACAACTTCTAGCTGTTGTTTTTAGAAGAATGGTAATGATAAGCATTGCGAAAGAAGCATTCTGATACCTTTGCCTCAATGTAGTAGTGTCAAAAATACCAGTACAAAGTGGATAATTAAATTGTAAACGTGATGTTACCAGTTTTTCTTAATTAGATACCCGCTGATAGGCAACTGCATTCAAACAGTGCCGTGCGTATTTGTGTTTGTTATGGACAACTTCAGTGATGAAAGAGAGCACACTTTCTCTATATATATATATATATATATATAAAGCAGTGTGTTTTTGGTGTGGTGAGGGGCCCACCCCTTGGTTCTGTGACCAGGGCCCAACATTTGGTGCTACGCCACTATAATCGTCACCACCTTTCTCCCCACTAGCGACGGCCCCGCTTCAGTCCGTTGGATTATTAAAATATAATGCACTCCTGAGGTGTAACAGCCACATTGCATCACCACCTCAGATGTGCATTATTTTTTAACAATTCAATGACACATTGTCAATTATTCCTTACATAAATGCCTGCACAGTTCACTAATAAGTACTTTTTACTTGTAATACTTAAGTACAATAAAAAGCATGTACTTTTGTACTTTTATTCAAGAAAAATTGAAAAGGAGTACATGTATTTTTACTTTACCATCAATGGTATTCAGACAAATTGCAAATGCTGAACTTTGTACTTGCATGTACTTTATATGTAAGTAGATGTTCTGATAAAATGCAAGAGTATAATAACAAGTGTAAACAAAGCCAGATCGTAGTTACAGTAAACCAAAAATAAGTTTATTTTGTCTTTTTGTACCTTGACCAGCCATGTTTCTCACTGATGTATGTCACTTCAATGTATTTCTTCAAAACAAAATGCAATTATATGGCTCATCCAGACACCTGGCATCTGTAAAATAGGAAATTCTTGCATATATAATCAGAGAACAATGATAAGAATAAATGTATTAAAATTTAGATTTTTAATCAAAAAGGTTTAAGACCTTTCGTAATCTCCTGTGTCCTAATTGACATAAAAAAAAATACTGACTTTGGGATTGATTGATGTTTACACAGTATACCTACATTACAACAGCTAGGGTCAAATCTTGTGTGGATGTATTATTATTTATTTCATAATAAATTACAATGATAAACTAAACCCATTAAATTAATTTAGGTCAAATTCTTACTCTTTACATTAATAGCAGACTCCAGCTAGAACAACTTTCAAAAGTACAGCATTGAACAGTTCATTTCAAAGTCAAGATAAGAAAATCTTTCTATAAATGTACTTCAGAAAGGCCGTTTACAGCAGTTACACATTTAAAAGAATAAACACGCTGATTTGTCACTCCTACCTTGCCTCTGGAAACAACCTGAAGAGATACCGAACTCGTTTCGCAAGGTCTGAGATTTTGTTTCCTTGTCAAATGATCCACCTATAAAATCTTCCTGGAATTAACGTGTCTGCGCAGGTCAACAGTAACGTAGACAAGTTTGATTACCTCATTTATACCTCATTCATAGGAGTCATTATATTAATCTATATAGATTTTTTTTTTTTTTGCACCAAAAAAAATGTTCAATGTTTGTAAAAATTAGAATTTTCAATAACAATTTTCACTGTCTGTAAAAAAAAAAACTCTTGCAGAACCTGAAGTAAACACTGCTGTGACTTTATCGCACTGTATCTATGCCCTCCTTCACAGCCCATCCCAAACGAGCAAGTAGATTTGACAGAAATAGAAAAATAAAAGGGTAAATTTATGTTCAGTTTGGCAGACTGTTCTGTAGCCACATATTTAGGATTATTATGGGGACAAAATATAATTTTTCAATATGACACATGGCCCAGAGTAGAGTAGCATAACAAAGGATTTTTGACTGCTAAATTACATTTTCAGTGGCTTGTTTTATTGAATACACATAATTATTGTAGATTTTTATTTATTTTAAATTTCATTTATAAAATCATATTTTAAATATTACACAGTTTGAATGTTTTTCCTGTTGATTTAAAGGGGTTGTTACGGCTCAGTGTGTTCTTTCTAATATTTGTCCACTAGGTGGTGGTGTTCTGTGGTTTTGCCTCTCCTTCAGAGCGAGCGTCATGTACAGGTGTGGAGTGTTACCTGTGATTGGCGTTTCGGTTTAAAAGACGAAGATTCAGAGAGCAGTGGGGATCTGGACTGGGCTGCCGTTCATCTTCCCTCTCCAGCCCTGGATTGTTTTCTTTTTGTTTCTTTCTTTCTTTATACTAATACTTAACTTTTGTATTATTTGATTTATTCTTGATTAAATGTTTATTTGTTAAACTTAGTCTTCTGTGTGGCCTCCCCTTTTGGTAATGTTACTTTACCCAGAGCCAGGTGGTTGTAACATTATGGGGGTCGTCTATAAGCTCAGTATGTTTTGGTAAAATATTTGGTTTGAGAGATAATTGAATGCGTTTGATTAAAATGTGATATTGTGATTATTTTTGGGGAGAGTTTGCGTAATGCCACATTGAATCTTCGCGATGGCACCGACGTTGATGGCTGCCTCCGTGGCGTGCTCCGCAGTTGTTTTTATGTTTTTGTTAGTTTGTCCTGTCTTTAGTTATATCCCTGCAATCAGTTTCACCAGAGATGAATTGCTGGACATTCGGAAGTACACACCACCCGATATTTCACCGGTTTTCGATTATTCTGATGTTTTCCATGTCACTGCAGTCCAAAGTTCAAGTTTGGTGAACTCTGACCTGCGAATTCGCATCACGTGAAGACGTGTCACCAGTAGAAGATCGATACGTCGGTACAGAAATTCAAAAATGGAGGAAGCGCTAATTTTAGCCATAGTGCAGCGTCCTATTTTATATAATGCATCTTTAAAAGATTATAAAAATCAAATAAAAAAAGAAGCTGCATGGTTCGCAGTGTCAATGGAAACAGGAACAGACGATATATATATATATAGAGAGAGAGAGAGAGAGAGAGTAC